ACCCAGATACTTTTTCTATTCTTTTGTAGAGTCAGGGTCTCACTATGTAGCTCAGGTGGGATCTGAAATTTTATGATTTCTTTACATTCATTCATTCTTCTAATGATTGATAGAGTCCCTCTATGCTAGCCTCTAGGGATAAAGTGTGAAATAAGACAGACATGACCCCTGCCATCAGAGAGCTCGGTGTGGCAGGAGGACAAGCAGTGAAGGAGTAACTCTGTTATTGTCATTGTAGTAAGTGCTATGGAAGGAGAGCAAATAGGGTCCTGGCTTCCTTGGGCACCACGCTGGATACCTTACATGAATTGTTTCTTGAACTCCTTACCATACTAGGAGGCCCATTTTACAGATTGAGAGTAGGAGGCTTAATGAGGTCAAGTGACTTGCCCAGGGTCACACAGCGAATATGTGGCAGAGCTGAGTTGCCAATGCTAGAGGTCTAAAACTGGGCTCTAAAACTGGGCCCTGTGCTTGTGCCACCCATGCCAGCTGTGACTGTGTCTTTTAAATTTTTAATAATTCCTTTTCCTCATTAAAAAGTAGGGCACGGTGGCTCACACCTGGAATCCCAGCACTCTGGGAGGCCAAGGCAGGAGGATCGCTCGAGGTCAGGAGTTCTAGACCAGCCTGAGCAAGAGCGAGACCCCGTCTCTACTAGAAATAGAAAGAAATTGGCCAAACAACTAAAAAAAAAAAATAGAAAAATTAGCCGGGCATGGTGGCACGTGCATGTAGTCCCAGCTACTCAAGAGGCTGAGGCAGGAGGATTGCTTGAGCCCAGGAGTTAGAGGTTGCTGTGAGCTAGGCTGATGCCACGGCACTCTAGCCCAGGCAGCAGAGTGAGACTCTGTCTCAAAAAAAACAAACAAAATAAAACTTGAAAAGAGATGCCCACACAAGTGTCATTGGTGTGCCCTTATTGGCACTAGTATAAAGGAGCCCTTAGCACACACCAGAAAGTAGGAGTGCCTAACCTGGGGTCCCTTCGTCCCTCATGCAAAGGCTTTAAGAGTTTATGGAACCTATGAAATTGCATGAAAAAAAAAATTTTAATCCTCAAGATTCTTAAATGTACCATGCTAAGGAAATGTGGGCTGAGAGATAGAGCTGCCCGGTATCAGCTGATCAGCCAGAAAGCCAAAAGGTGACCACATATTGCCCCTTTTTTGGCTTCTCTGGATTTGATTAAGAGGGTGACCCACCACCATCTCCACCCACACCACTGTTCTGTGGTTTAAAATGTAGGGGATACTAAAGTGGGAGTTGTTTCTTAGAACCATCACCAGGGCTCCCTAGGCCCTGATGCAGTTCACCTGAAATTTTCTAATGCATCAGAGGCCCAGAGAGGAAGTGCTGGGCACATAGCCAAAGGGAAAACCCCAGTATTAAAGACTATAAAGGAATCGCCAGGAGATGCCAAGAATCTCCATTGTCTCCATTCCCAGAGTGCGACATCTGGGTTTTACAGACCCATGCAATTGCAGTACCTCTATGGGCATTTCCCTACAGCCTGGCGCAATTTTTTTGGCTCTGCATTGTATACAAAACAGAAAGATATCACATTTTCACCTTATTTCTTCCTCTAGGGACAAGCTAATATATTTTGGTTGTTTTCTATAATATGTCATCTCATTCCCTTTCCCAACAGCTCTGTGAGATGAGTATTATGTCCATTGTATAGATCCAGAGACTAAGGCTCAGAGAGTAACCTAGCCAACATCACACAACTAGTGAGTGGTAGGACCAGAATTCAAGCCCATGTCTGCTTGACTCTAAGCCTGTGAATATACTAAAGAATGCTCTGTACCAGCTAATACTTCCTACAGTCATAACCTGGACTGAATTGATACCCATGTCCCTAAACTCCACGCTTGAGTGACAGAGAATTGAGCAGTGTACAAGAAGGCCTGACTTCTAGTCCTGTCTCTGCCACTCACAAGCTTTACAATATAAGAGAATAAAGGGTTCGCAGTAGTTCTAACAAAGCTGTGATTTGTCAATAGTCTGTCCCTCCAGCCAAAGAGTGCCTATTTTTAAGGTATTTGACTGAAGCATTTGAGCCTTGTTCTTCATGTGATGTTCTAGACCAGTGGTTTTGGAAACCATCTTCCTGCAAACCATTGGAGCTGTGTAAGGTGGATGAAGGTGTTCCTGGATAAAATCAAACCATAATCACTTCTACCCAATTCATAAGTGGAGTGTAATTTTTGTCATCTGAAGATTTTCATAAACTCCGGATATAAATCTAGATGAGGATTCAATATAAGATGGTAGCTGATTTAATACAGAGTTATGCATTTCATTATTTCATGGTGGATACATCAATATTTTTTGGTCTTTTCCCAAAGAACACCTTGATTTCCAGGGATTCTAGACCCTGAGCATGGGTTAAACCAGTGGCTCTCAAAGTGTTGGCCCCAGCACTTGTAGCACAAGCTTCACCTGGCAACGTTTTAGACATGCAGATTCTCTCTTTTGAAATATAGTTTCATGGAAAAAGAGAAAAAAAGAAAAGAAAGATGAAGGAAGGAAGGGAGGGAGGGAAAGGAAAAGAAATGCAGATTCTTTGGCCTCACTCCCAAACCTGCTGAACCAGGTACTCTAGGGTGGGGCTCCGCAGTCCGTTTTAGCAATGCTTCCAGGTAATTCCAACATACACTCCAGTTGGAGAACCACTAGGTTATAGGATGTGGGAAGGAGTCATCGTTGAATTTGGAGCAATTCCCATCTAAACAGAGAAACTAAGCCTCTACAACAAGAGCTGGCGACCAGGTTGTTGTCAGAACTTGAAAGCTTGCCTCTGTATTACCTTTCCTGTCCCTAACCCAAGTCTTTTACTCTGAGGTGCCCCAGCACACACTGCCTGAGCTACAGTGATACAGGAGTGTGGCTTAGTTCCCCAACAAGAGGGGGGCCATTTAACACAGTGACTTCACAAATATTTGCTGAGTGAATGTATTTGCTCCTAAAAAGCAGGATCCAGGTAAAACCTTTTTTCTCTCCTAACTGCTCCCAGCTCAGTGCTGTTTACATAGTAAGCACTAAATACATAACTGCTGAATGTTGATCCAGACAAGTCATGTTCCTCCTCCAAGCTTTAGGTCTCTCATCTTAAAAGTAAGAGGATTATATCAGACAGCTGGCCTTAGATCTCTCATCTCGAGAGCTCCAGATTAGCCTATGCTTCTCTATTTGGAGATGTTCTTACCCAGAAACTGGCACAGGGCTCCTGTAATTCACTAAGTATCAGCCTCACAGTGTGGAGAAGAAAGGGGAAAATCAAGATTTTAAAAAATTTAGCTAGAATGTATATATGGTTCCCAAAGGTTACTGCATAATTATTAACATTCTCTCTTCTCTTTTTCCTTCCTCTTCCTTCTCTTTTCCTCTTTCTCTTCGTTTTGTTTCTCTCCCTCCTTAAGATGTGTCATCGGCAGCTGGTCATCTCCTGGCTCTGCCTGGTTTTGCTGGCATCTGCCCTCGCGGCCATCTGGGAACTGGAGAAAGATGGTAACCAGCCTCTCCTCACTCTCTAGGGAAGCCCTGGAATCCAGGCAGGACTCTCAGGCAGTCACTGGCGGGAAATCAGACAGCAATGGGTGACCACGCATTGGGTCCTCCTAGTGAGAACCGTCCTCTGGGAAAATGCAAGGCCACAGTGCCTTCTTTCACTTTGCACGTATCCATATTGTTTGGTTTTCTCATTGGATGCCAGAAAAGGAGCTTTTTTCTGGACTGCAGTGGGAAGGGAGATACGGTCTTTGCCAGTATCACTGAAACCCAGCTGTTTCATACAATTAAAATTCCAAAGTGAGGATTTGAAAAGTATAACGACTATATCCTACCATTTCCCACTCCACCACACGATATTGCCCCTTCAGCGAGCGCTGTGATGAACCCACCTCTGACTAAGCTCCTTGGGGAACTCCCAGGATTTACACTCGCATTGACTTGGGTTCAAGTCCTGGTTATGTGACCTTGAGCTAGGTCACCTAGGAGCCTGAGTTTTCTCAACTGTAAAATGGTATTACAAAGTGACACCTAGCACATGGGTTATTAAATGTGTTAATGAACACAGAAGACAACAGGTGGTAAAGTGAAAGTAAATGTTAGCTAGTATTGTTGTTTTGATTGTTTAAGTAATGTCTCTGATGATTCAAGAGAAACTTTTTATTGTCCCAGTCATTGATAAAAATGATTAGTAGACTAATGGAATGGGTACTAGTAAAAGAGTTTTCCTCTATCCTTCTAGTATCTCACACCCAGTAAATATGCATTAACTGATTATTGGTTGTACCTGAAAGACCCTCAAATGTTTCTCATTGAAGCCAGCATAATAATGTTGGCAATTAGTCTTTAATTATATAACGATAATAGTTAATATTTATTGAGCACAGTATCTCATTTAATTCTCACAACCACCATTTCTGTACCCCATTTTATAGATATTGAAAATTGAAGCTAGAAAGATTAAGTAAATTGCCCAACCAATGTCACATACCTGGTGAGGGTGGGACAGGAACTTGATCCCAATTCTGTCTCACTTCCAAGCCTGTGCACTTAAGTATTTGAAGATTTTACAAGGACATGAGCAATTATTTCCTGTGTCCTTGGAGAGCTGAGTGAGAGGGAATAGGCATAAATTACAGATGAAAGATTTCAGCTGGTGATCAGAAATAATCTGTTGATAGTCAGAAGAGTACAGCACTGAAATGGGTGCCTGAGAGAAATTTGGGACCCTTCTTGTCTTCTTAAAAATTTTGAGGAGACAGCAATCCAGCCGACCCCACCCCCGACCCCCATGAGGGTTTGAGCCTTTGTTAAGTAAAGGCAAAGGCCTGAGCCAGAGGAGTGTGCCAGATCCCTTCCAACCCTGGGATTTTCAGTGAGCTCGGGGAAACTTGGTCCTTGTCTATTTAACCCGTTAGTTACTTTTGATTTGGTAAACCACAGAAATTCCAGAAAGTCAGTGTGAGAAACACTCAGAGGGCTTGTGGCTTGGGAGGCCAGACAATGTAGTGAAGCTAAGCACTAGCTTCGTGGTGCGTTTCATCAGCTTTCCTCTTGCGGTTGTGTTCCCTGCCCCTGAGCAAGGGTCTTCTGGGGCTTCTTGAGTCTTAGTTATGAGGGAAAGAAACCGTGCTGTTCAGTTGCCTGGGAAACAAAGGAAAAGTAGAAAAAGCCAAAGGTGCCATGCGGTTCTATATCAGCACAGCTACTCATACCCCGAGTTGGGCCCCAAGTGCTTTGACCTCTTATCTTTGTTACCCATTCAGTCCTTAGAAATCCTATTGATGTAAATTGAGAACTTTATATTCCACAATGCTTTACACTCAAGGCCGATATCAAGAACCTCCCTTTATAGGGTATTGAAAGGGGCTGCATTAAGCTCTCGTATGAATCAGCCTGTATAACCCAAGTGTCGACCTTCAAAAGCAAGTACTAATATTTTTCTCATTTTAAAGATGATAACACCAAAGTTCAGAGTAGTTGAATGTCTTGCCCAAGGCCACAAGGCTGGCGTAAGGGCTAGATCTGTTTCCAAATCTGGACCCGTGCCTCTCCAGGATCCAGGCTTTCCGCCACTGTGACTCACAAACTTGAGCAGGCATCAAAATCATCTAGAGAGCTTAAAAACAGGTCACTGGGCCCATCCCAAAGTCTCTGATTCAGCAAATAAGAATTTGCATTTCTAACAGCTTCCCAGGCAATGCTGCTGATAGTATTTCAGTGACCATTCTTTGAGAACCCTGCCTTAGGCTGTTCTATTCAATTAATAATGGATGCACGGATAAACAAATGTGTCAAGCTTTGATGTGACATATTCTTTGAAATACTACACTAAGCCATTCCTCAAGGGCCAATGTAGATAGTGGCATTACATACCCCTTGCAAAGCCTGAGAGACAGGAGGTCTGGGCTGTAGCTCTTGTACTTCTATCTTAATATGACCTTGCTTTGCCCCTTGGCCTCAGTAACCTCCTTTGTAAAATGGGAAGAGTAGGATCTACTGGACTGCCCCCTTAGTGTGTATGAAAACTAAAAAAAAGAAAAAAATACAGAGAGAATTGAAAATCTCCATTGAATTTCATGCAGAAGGAACTAAATCCTTAAATCCCCATGGAAAATTGTTAAGAGAGTTTCCCGGTACAGTTGGCTGACTCTTTAGTCTGTGAATAACAATAACTAACACAGAATTTACCATGTGCAGACACTGTAATAAGTGCTTTACATGCTTTTTGCCTTTAATTCTCTGCCAAACCTATGACATAGATATTATTATTATTGTCATTTTACAGATGAGGGAACTGAGGCTCATGGTGCTTAAGTACCTTACTCCAAGTCCAGCCAGTTAGTGGAGACAGGATTTTAGTCCTAATCAGTCTTTCCCAACACCCTGAGCTTCTAACCACTATGTTATTTTGCTAAATACTGTACCCTGCCTTATTCCCCTCTGCCAGCTAATCAGGGGTTCATTATGAAAGGCAGCTATAAAACTCTTTGTTTCTCTGTTCCATGACCTTGAGCCCAAACAGGGCCCATTGCCCTGAGATCATCTCAGCAGGCATTTTCCAAACATTTGTTATGAGCAAGGCTGTATTTAGACAGTGCGGATGCCCAGATAGTTAATAAAACACAGACCCAGGATCATGTTACTTGCAGCCTGGTCTCTACTCCCTGTGCTCTACAGTTTATGTTGTAGAGTTGGATTGGTACCCTAATGCCCGTGGAGAAATGGTGGTCCTCAGCTGTGACACCCCTGAAGAAGAAGGCATCACCTGGACCTCGGACCAGAGCAGTGAGGTCTTAGGCTCTGGAAAAACCTTGACCATCCAAGTCAGAGAATTCGGAGATGCTGGCCGCTACACCTGTCGCAAAGGAGACGAGGTTCTGAGCCATTCGCTCCTGCTGCTTCACAAAAAGGAAGATGGAGTTTGGTCCACTGATATTTTAAAGGACCAGAGAGGTAATTCTCTTGGATAGTGTCAATTTTCTCTTTCTCTCATAAGACATACAAAAATAAAAAATTGAGGCCGGGCGCGGTGGCTCACGCCTGTAATCCTAGCTCTCTGGGAGGCCGAGGCGGGCGGATTGTTTGAGCTCAGGAGTTCGAAACCAGCCTGAGCAAGAGCGAGACCCCGTCTCTACTAAAAATAGAAAGAAATTAATTGGACAACTAAAAATATATAGAAAAAATTAGCTGGGCATGGTGGCGCATGCCTGTAGTCCCAACTACTCGGGAGGCTGAGGCAGGAGGATCACTTGAGCCCAGGAGTTTGAGGTTGCTGTGAGCTAGGCTGATGCCATGGCACTCTAGCCTGGGCAACTCAGTGAGACTCTATCTCAAAAAAATAAATAAATAAAAATAAAAAAAATAAAATAAAAAATTGAAAAGGCAGGACATGATTAGTGCAGTTAATGAGTTAATATCAAGTCTTTTATTGAAACCACTCAGAACCTCCATTTTATTTGCTTTCCTGGACCCTTTGGGTTATCAACTGTCAAAATCTTACATTGAGAGAGTTTCCTAGTCAATCTGAATGGTTGTTCTGAGGTCCTCTTTAAATAGCGGTGGTATTATTGGGTGGCTAATGGAAATTAACTGATGTGTATAGTGTATATCAGCACTGGTGTGACAGCCTGGAAAAAAAACGAACACATCTGACTGATGTGTTACGTGTGTAGTGTACTCTGCAGAACCAGGATCCAACTGGGACACTCCCAGTCTTCACCGAACCACCCGACGGGAGCAGCAGCATTTTCCCAGGAAATATTATAAATGGAAGAACTTTACCCTGGTACCATTTGGTGGCCTATGATTAATCACAATCACAATCTTTCTGAAAAAAAAAAAAAAAAGAAACCACTAAATATTGAATTTTTGTTCTTTTCAAATACAGAACCTAAAAGTAAGACCTTTCTAAAATGCGAGGCCAAGAATTATTCTGGACGTTTCACCTGCTGGTGGCTGACAGCAATCAGTACTGATCTGAAATTCAGTGTCAAAAGCAGCAGAGGGTAAGTGAAAGCACTTCTGGCTTCTCAGCATTTTGCTAAAACTATTTCGTTAAGAAAATAAGGCAACCTATCAGCGACCTATCAGTTAATGATAAGGGGAAGAACAAAGTCAATCCCAAATTTTTCAACCCCTCTTTCTTGCCTAAGTTGGGGAAAAAGCATAGAAATTTAAGCCAGCAAATGTATGTGTTAGAACAGGATATCATCACGACCAGAGAATAGTCTCTGCCGTGTGAGACTCATCTGTATTGCCCACTGTGAGCCCACTCATCTACCTTGCCTGGCAATGCTTCTTCCAAGGCTCATAGCACCAGGGGACAGGATAAAAGGAGAATTCAAACCTATGAATGAGTTGCTAAAATTGCACTTTGAGTCAAAAATAAAAGCAAGAGATCTAGTCTAGGCCATAGGTCTTGGTCTCGAACTCCTGACCTTGAGCGATCCACCCACCTTGGCCTACCCAGAGTGCTAGGATTACAGGCGTGAGTCACCGCGCCCGGCCTAGGGTGTAGGTCTTGGAAGCCCTAAAGCAGACCCCAAAACTCTGAGGCCTCTCGGAATTTTCCTAGGGCCACCTCAAGTCTTTTACTTCCACGGACACCACAAATCTGAAGTTCGCTGTTTGCCCCACACACTTGGATTTTCCCTAAGAAACCAGGATACAGGACCTATGTTGGCCCCCACGTGACCACTTCAATCATCATCTAAGTTCCTGAGCAGTGTAGGATAAGGGAGCAAACCCTAGGTGATCACTTGGTTTTGCCACAGTTTAACTGAGCAACAACAGCTTCGGGGTCTCACTTTCCCATCTTTAAAAGGAAAATGCTTACTTAAAAAACGCTTCTACAAATGCACGAAGACATAGGCGCATGTGCTCATGGTGATGTTTTTACTAATCAGCAGAGGAACAGTTAACAAAAGCATGGTACACTCTACTCTGGCTTATTGTGCGATCATTAAAGCCAAGAACCCAGCCTATGTTTTGTGTCAGAGAGCTCCCCATATGTTTAGAGAGGAAAAAGATCATCACAAAATTATATATATATATATATAATTTGATCCTATTTCATTAAAAATAAAATCTATGTGTGTATTTATAGGTAAAATATATGTGCATATATACATGCAGAAATAATGATTATCTTGAATATTCATTGAGAAAGGTCTGGAAGGATACAGCAAGCAATGAATAGTATTTATATCTGAGGGGTGAGGTTAGGGTTAAAGGGGGGATGAAGAAGGCACACATTTATTCCCATTATATAAATCTTTATCATTTTAATTTTTACCATTAGCATATATTGATTTTTGTAATTAAAATTAGAAAAATGAATTTAAATTTTTAATTTTATTAAATCAGCGACTCTGAATCTAAAAAACTTCCATATTCATTTAGGCCAGAGACACATTAGTGCAAGTTTCTAAACATTCGTGCTGTCTCTTGAAGATAAGCTTATTCTCCTGGGAAGGCAGTTTCTTACCCTCTGGGTAGAAAACTGTGTCCCCGGACAGGCAGTTGAGGCCTTACCTGCCTCACTGGCCACGATCAGTAGGCACTCGCTCGCCAGTGTGTGACACAGGACACTTTCTGTCTTTGACTCCAGCTCCTCTGATGCCCAAGGGGTGACATGTGGAACAGCCACACTCTCTGCAGAGGGGGACCATGGGGAGTATAAGAAGTTCTTGGTGGAGTGTCAGGAGGACAGTGCCTGCCCAGCCGCCGAGGAAAGCCTGCCCATTGAGGTGGTGGTGGATGCCGTTCACAAGCTCAAGTATGAAAACTACACCAGCAGCTTCTTCATCAGGGACATCAGTGAGTTTCGGATGATTTGTCGCATGTTCACAATGTCCCATGCACTAGGGAAACAGTGCATGGGGATTTCCAAGCATCATCTCTTTTATTTTGCACCCAGAAAAGTATGATGTAGATACTATTATCTGCATTTTAAGGAAGAGGAAATTGAGTGTTAGAACGGTTAAGCAACTTGCCCCAGATCTCACAGCTAGCAATTCAGACCCAGCTCTGCCCTGCGAGGAAAAGCAGGCTCTTTGCTGCACAGCAGTTCTGCTGCCCACGCAGCTTCCATGATGAATCCCAGAGCCCCTCCTGCATCATATTCATATTCCGAACCAGGGCTTCCCTACTAAATTGCAATTATTCCCAACCAATCTTTCTTTAGCGTTTGAAAAGGGACTTCTTTATTGGAATATAAACCCCTCCAAAATGGACATCTATTTTTTAAATTGGCAGATAGAGAATTCACCATTAATCATTTCCTTTACCGTTTACTCATTGACCAGGCATCATGATAAAGTGTGATAGGACCACAGAACTCGCTCTAGAATTCGTGGAGAGTCTGTACTTGGCGGGTGGGGGAGGGGGTATCTAGTTCACATGGGGTGGTCGGGAAAGGCCTCTCTGAGGAGGAAACATCTAGCTGACACCTAAAGGAAAGATGTCAGTTGTGTTAAGAGCAGAGGGAAGAGTATTTGTGAAGCACCTGCTGGGCACTGTGGTCTGTGTATGGAGCATGCTGGCCCACAGAGCCCAAGCACACGCCATAGCTCATCTCTCCCTCCCCTGATCCCTTTGGACCCCTGGTCCAAAGACTCCCTCCCCTACTTGAGGGAGTCTTTGTGATACTTCTGTATCCTCCACGCATAGTCTAGCGGCTGGAACGTCATGGGTGCTCGGTAATTATTCACTGAATAAATGAACAAACAAGCACAGAGACGATCGACTATAACTGCTACAAGATAAGTTGGTGCCAGAAGCTATGAAAAGACAAAGAAAGGGCAGTAAGGGGAAAACCTCTCATCTCATCCCCAGCGAGAGGCTCAGCTCAGTTCTGCTTCTGATGCAAAGTGGGGGCTTGAGCACGAGAGGGTGGTCCGTGCCTGCATGGCCCAGATCCGAGAGTCCTCTTGTCTCGAAGGACTTTCTTCTGAGCACTAAGCAGAGGTGGTTCCACCGCGAGGGCCCATCTGATTGTGCAGTGATGAGGATTCTGAGATCTCTCGGGTCCCGCAGTAACGGAGATGGCCGTTGATGACGATTGCCTTCCCCGGGCACCGGCGTGAGCACCAGGGGCAGGGGGGCTTCACATGTGCCAGCCCGGGGCTCAGGGAAGTTGAGTAACTCTCCAATGGACTCACAACTGGGCAAAGGTGCAAGTGGGATCAGAAGCTAAAACCACCTAACTTCAAAGCCCCATTAGGAAAATAAAGAGTGTTTATCCTCTTCCGCAGTCAAACCTGACCCGCCCAAGAACCTGCAGCTGAAGCCATTAGAGAGTCCTCGGCATGTGGAGGTCAGCTGGGAGTACCCTGACTCCTGGAGCACTCCGCATTCCTACTTCTCCCTGACATTCGCTGTTCAGGTTCAGGGCAAGAACAAGAGAGAAAAGGTAAGAAGAGATTCGGGTGCGGTACAGTCCGTGATCAGGTTTATAGGGGCCCACATCAGAGAGAAGATGAATGGCGATAATCACAGCTACAGCCGTGCATCACTTAACAATGGGGACATGTTCTGAGAATTCCGTCATTGTGCAAACATGATGGGATACATGTCCTAGGCCATGTGGTGTAGCCTGCCGATCCCAGGCTACAAACCTGTACAGCGTGTCACTGTAGTGAATACTGTAGGCAATTGTAACACAGTGGGGAGTATGTGTGTATCTAACACATCTAAACATAGAAAAGTTACAGTAAAAATACGATATTATAATCTTATGGGACCACCCTCATATATATGGTCCTTCTTTGACCGAAACATTGTTATGCGGCACATACTGCTTTCTTTTTTGGCACTTTCCATGTGCCTGGAACTATGCCAAGGGTTTTCCATGTATATTTCACTTAATCCCCCAAATTAACCCTACGATGGCAGCCAGTATTATTATCACCATTTCACAAGTGAAGACATTGGAGCTCAGAGAGGTTAAGTGACTTGCCCAAGGTCACACAGCTAGGAAGTGACAAAACCCACCATTTCACAAGTGAAGACACAGAGAGGTTAAGTGACTTGCTCAAGGTCACAGAGCTAGGAAGTGACAAAACCAGGACACAAACTCAGTCTGCCAGACACAAAGTCCACGCACCTAAGCACCCCACCATCGCCAGTATCATTGGTCATTGATCATGGCACTCAGAATTCATCCTGATATAGGACCCCTGGGCTCAGGAACCTAAAATTATTGCTCCAGCTGAGTACATATAATGAATGATAGAACATGCATGCCATATCTCACCCACAATGGTTAACTCCCAGCTCTTCCAGATATTGTGAAATTATTTTACTACACAGGATGTCAACACTTACATAGGTTAAGACAATGTCTTTCCAACTTTCCTGCCTTACATCAGAATCTCTTTGCCTCTTACAAGGTTCCAGAGGCACATTTCCAGAGCCTTAGCCTCCTTTGACCCCACTTTTAAAGTCACTAGACAAAGACCTTATTCGGCATAGCATTTAGCATGTGGTAGAAATGTAGTGATTCAGTCAGTCCCTGAAAAAAAAAACTGGGGGTGTGTTGGGAGGGAAGAGGCTATTCTGGAATAGATTTTACCTAAATATTATTTTAAAACTTGGTAAGTATCTTCTCTATTCAAGATATATATCATTAATAGTTGAGTACCTTCTATGGGCTGAAGACTTGCTAAGACTGTTACATGATTACTACCTTTAACTTTTACAATGCTCTGAGGTAGGCATTACTGTTATCCCTCTTTATAAATGAGGAAACAGACACAGAGAGCCTAAGACATTTACCTGAAGTTCCCCAGCTATTAAGTAGCAGTGCCAGGATTTGAAGGCAAATTTGTCTGATGAAAAGATCAGGACATAAACTCATGAAATTGGGAAGAAAAAAAAAAAGATCAGGATATGGTATTTCTGAATATTCAGAGGATGGCTAGAGAAAATCTGTCTCAGCCCTACCATCAGCCTAGGACTATGGTGACTGCCCACAGGGCCATGGGGCAAGGCAGCTGTGCTGGAAAGATGAAAAGCTGGGCCCCACGATTTCTCCTTCAAGTCTTCCAAAGTAGAAAAGCCACATCTGTGTTTGTAGCTTCCGCCAGTAGGTGGTGCAAGTTCTACGCAGCCCCCTGTGAATTGCAAGGGGAATGCCCTAAGACCCGGATGTGCTTGTTTGGGGAGGTCGTGCTTTGCAGAAATAAGCTCGGCCTACCCTTTGACTGCATTGCCAATGGACAATGGACCCTCACAGATTTCATTCTCCTTAGCAGAAAGATAAAGTCTTCACGGACAAGACCTCAGCCACGGTCATCTGCCAAAAGCATGCCAACGTTCGCGTGCAAGCCCAGGACCGCTACTATAGCTCATCTTGGAGCGAATGGGCATCTGTGCCCTGCAGTTAGGTGAGCAGGCCCGGGAAGCCCAATCCAGACGCGCACACTCAGTGTTCCCAGGTGCAGGGATAAGGTAGGGGCTGTGCGGGAGAGGAAAGCGGGACGGGGAGTCCAGCACAGAGCTGCCAGTATCAGAAATGTACATTTGTTCATTAACAGTAGTTATTTGATGCCTGTGTTATGTCGAGCGCTGTGCTGCAGTAAAGAAAAGAGGGGTGAGGGGAAGGCCGCGAAGAGAAAGGGGTAGCCAGGAGTCAGGGCGTGGAGGGCTTACAAGCTTCCACGAGATAGAACCTTGTATTAAGAGCCCTGGGGAGCCACTAAAGGATTTTCAGCAAGGATGGCAAGCATGACAGCCAGATTCTAGGCCACATACGAAAGGCCTGGGCTTTCCGACATGAAATCCCCAAAACCCGACTGTCAGGGCTACGTGCTGTCAGGAAGAAGGTTTGCTGCTGCACGTCTATCCCACATAGACTCTCGGCATTCTTTTTCAGGTTCCGGTCCCAGGATGAAACTTGGAGGAAAGGTAGAAGATAGTCAGCAAAGCTTTTTAAAGACACAATGGAAAAGACCCAAAAAGATATTTTGCACTTGGTCTGCTTTTTAAAAATTTTTTTTTAGGATCACCATGATGTCTTTGCTGTATTTTTTAGGTAGATGCTAACTGCCCACAGAAACAATCAAGCTAATTTACACATAGATTTTCCAGCTATCAAGTTGCCACTGACATTAATGCTATTTAAATATTTACGTAATTTATGTATTTATTAATTTATTACTGTTATTTAACATTTGTGTGCCAGGATGTATTGAGTGTTTCGTATTCTCGTGACCCGATCCACAAGGATCAGGGCCCCTGTTATGCAAAATGTGAATTTAAATGTTATTTATACTGCAAGCAAGGCTGCAAGTACATCAGTTTTACGACAACCAGTAAGAACACAGTATTTTGATACCAGCGCCACCATATATTTGTGAAGGATGGGAACGCAAGAGACATTTAATTAGTGACGTGAAGACACAGACCTGTTCAGAAAATCCTGGAGAAGGAAATTCTAGTTCCCATATCCATGAAGATGGCCTTGAAGTGTTGTTGACGAAGCAATTCAGGGCCACCTGTATTTCTAAGCAAGTTTAGTCTGTGGTTGCCTGAATTTTAAAAGGGCTAAAAATAAAATGATTGAAATTAAAATTCAGCTTCAGCTTCAATGGCAGTCCCTGCCCCTACCTCTCTGTAAGACACAGGAGGGTGGCACAGAGACTTCGTAAGTGTTTGGAAGGTAAAAAGATCTTAGGATTCAAGAGGGAAGACAAGTGTTGTTATGGCTAAGGATATGAAATTGTCAGAATTGCAGGGAGCTTCTTAACAGCCACATGAGGAAGCAGACAGATGCAGAGAAAACAATCTAGAATGGTTCCTCGTCAGCACGAGGGAACCTGACATGCAGCTAGGAGCAGAAAGTATACTCCGTGTAGGCGCTGCTTTTAAGTAATGACTGTGCTCTCTGTAAATAAATTTGTTTTCTGTTTATTTTTCTATATTTCATTTTTCTATTTATTTTTGCATTCTGAAGCCAGACTAATAAAAACTCTTTCTTTGCAATCCTATGTTGTGCTTTCTCAGCTGAGTTAGATACACTGTTTCCAAGTCTACCAGGGGTGCATTTTTTTGCCCTATCATTTAAGAATTGCCCTGAAATTGAAGTCATTTCATTTTCAGTTTTGCAGAGTTGCTGTTTCCCTTGATAGCAATGGTCCCCAAACTTTTTGGCACCAGGAAAAGGTTTCATGGAAGACAGATTTTCCATGGGGGGTGGGGGGAGGCAGAGGGACGGAGCTCAGGCAGTGATGCAAGCAATGGGGAGGGGAGCAGCTGTAAATACAGACGAAGAGTTGCTTCCTCGCTGCCACCCCCCACCAAGTTCATGGAAGACAATTTTTCCACAGGGGAGTGGGGGGGAGGCGGCAGGGCTCTGCAGCCTGGTCCCTAACAGGCTTGGACCTGTGGGGGTTGGGGACCGCAGCTTTATAGTATTTCCAAAGTCAGTGTCTTCCTAAGCTCAGGGGATATCCCTGCAATCTGACCAGGGAGGACCCTTTGCAAGGACACTGAACCACATTGTCACATTGTGCCCTCTTTAGGGGCTGATGCTCTGCGTCTTGTACCTTCTATCCTGGAATTGACTCTACTGGTTGGCCCAAAATGGTGGAATACAGCTCTAACCTGGTGGAGCCACAGGTGTCCCATCTCACAGTTCCAGCTCTGGCATTTATTGAGGGTTTGCCACATGTGTGGACAGGTGCTAGCCCTTAGGGTTGGGGAGTTTCAACAAACCTTGTATTGCCTCCCCCAAAGAGTGCCCACTCCTGGCCCTGCTTATAAGACAACGATGAAGAGTTAACTCCAATACCATTAAAGGCTAAAATGTGCAGGATATACGGTGCCCTGGGATAAGAATGAGAAGGAGCTGTGTAACTTGGAGTCACCCAGGAAGTTCAACAGAGAAGCACTTTCAGCCCAAAGTGCTTGCTCACTCCCCTTTGGTGCCTCCCGTGGAAAAAGCATGTAGTGGGATCAGAGAGATGCAGTCCAATTCCCTGCTGTCTTAAAAATCCAAGTGTGCACATCCAGGCTTTCCTGCAATTCAGGGTAATTGTAATAGGGACACTTGTTTACATTCTGATTTTAAGTGTCCTCTAGAGCCCTTATCCCACTCTGCCCTTGGCCTGGAGGAATGGTGGGACATCTCTGCCATCCTACTCCAACCTTTGAAACATCTTGTGTTATAAGCTCACACTTGACAGCACATGGTTGGTTAATAACAACTATCTGTCCTCCTACAGAGTCTTCCATCTAGAGTTACCAAAGCACTTCCTGGGCATTTAATAAACAACACTAATCAAGAAAGATTAATATATAATCACATTTCGTAAGCACAGAGAACTGAGGCCGTCTCCCAAAACTTCTGGCCAGCGTAGGCAGAGCTCAGACATTCGGGCACCTACTATGCCCAGTGCTTTTCTGACATGACCTCTTAGGATTCGATTAATTTCAGTGCATGCAAATGAAAGGTTTTCTTTTTTAAAGATATTCTCCAGGACAGTCCTTTTCATTGTAAATCTAGCCACTACAAAATGTGTCAGATGTCCAAGCAAAAGATCTCAGGTTTGGGAATCAGCTGGCCAACCTGTTATGTGACCATGAGATCTTGAGCAGGGCACCAGACACAACCTGCTGGTTGTCCAATCAATACTCACTCCCAACTGCCTTCTCCTCTGATTCCCCACTTCAGCTCTAACAGTTGGAAAGCTAAGCAATCACTTTCCCAGCGACCTTTGCTGCCCAGCAAAGCCAGAGACCCAGTTCTGGCCAATGAGATGTAAGAAAATTCTCCTGGGGGATTGCTGAGAAGCTTCAGTTTTTCTGATAAAAGACAGAGCCATGGCGACCATCCCCCTGTCCCTCCTTCTTCCTCTCTTGAGAACGTAAAATTTGAGAAGCTCCAGAGGACACCTTGCACCCAGGATGAAAACCATCATGCAAAAACTAAAACTAGAAAGTCTCTGGACCTATGCGTCATCATCAAGCCACTGAACCAACCCCTATAAACCACCGACCCTAGATTTCTTGTTATGTGATCATGATATACTCAGTCGCTTCTTTTTTATTGCAAAATATAAGTAACATAAAATTTGCCACTTTAACCATTTTTAGGTGTACAGTTCAGTGTCATTAAGTACGTTCACACTGTTGTGCTACCATCACCACCATATGTCTCCAGAAATATTTTATCTTCCTGAACTGGAACTCCGTACCATTCAACAGTAACTCCCCCCATATTTGTTTTTAAAATAGAAAATAATGAAACCAAAAAGTAAAGACATTCTCCTAAACCTCCAGACCCCCATCTGTGAGAGGCTGCTGGCCAAGGCAGAAAAGGGACCTAGGTCAGCACAGGAAGGAACCTGGGGTTTGGTTTCAGAAAACCTGGTTTTGCCACTCACAGCTGGCATAAGGCTGGAGAAGACATGGAACACTCGATTTCCAACCACACCAGATGGGGCCCTGGTGACACCTGCCTCCCTGACTTCTGTGCCGTGCAGGAGCCATGGAGGACATAAACTTGCAGGTCCCCCTCTGAAATCTGCAAGGGGTGTACCATTAAGGGTCTGTCCATCATCACCTCAGTCCAAGAAGAAAGTGAGAAAACTAAGGGCCAAATGGAGTCATATAATAGAAGCTGTCTCATTAGGTCCTCAAGCACACTGAGAAGGAGAAACTCTCACCCCCATTACTGCTGATGAGGACACTGTGGCCAAGATCCCTCTTCCAAGGGCAGCCAGAGCATCAGCAGGACTCATCTGAGTGGGATGGGAGGTGGGGAGAGGGAGGTGGCAGGTTTGGGGGATCCCACAAGAAAGCACCTCTGCTGTTCTTTCACTCAACATGTTTGGAGTTGCTGCTCTTTCCCTGACACCATCCTCAACTGTCCGGATACAGGCGTGAACAAGACCCTGCCTTCACATGGTTTCTTTCTAGTCTCCAGAAGACCAAATACTTGAAGTTTTAAGCACTGGAGGCCACTTCTTAAGGGTCCAGGGCACCATTAAATGAGAAGATTAATTTAATACAGTTGGCACAGCGCTTGGCCCACAGGAAGCACTTGGCAAATCGTAGCTATTTCCACTGACCAGTCTGTGGTCTTGAACAAGTTGCTTAATGTCTTAAAGACTCAGTTTTGCCATCTTAAAATGGAGTAATAATAATATCTACCTCATAGGGTGGTTGTGGGGATTCAATGAATAAATGCTCAGAAAGTGCTTAGAAAAGTACCTGATCCACAGTAAGTGCTCAATAAAAGCTCATTGTTATTTGATCTATCATACCGCTTAGAACCTGAATGCAGCATCTTTCTGTACCCTGTGCTTTTTGTGGGGGTTGGGGGATGGAGGGGTGGTTGTTACCTTTGTGTGGCTGAGACCTGGGTTGTTACGGAGGGACCATTAATCAGCCTACGGGGAAACCAAGGGCATGGGGGGAGATGTAGCTCAGCCCACCGAGATTTAAAAGCCTCTTCAGTGTAAAGCCCTTTCTTATAAGTAAAATTGCAAAAACATCCCCATGTGGGGAATACCAAGATGCAGTGAACCCAATTCCTGCCTTCAGGGATTGTACAATCTGGTGACAAAGAGAGCGGGGAAAGCGTGGTGACTATGATAAAATACAGCCCGGCTGGGATAAAGGTATGTGCGCCATAAATATTTCTTTTTGCGAAGGTTCCCAGCTCCTGGGAGGAGAACTTTCATTCCCTTTCACCTCCCTGGATGCAATAATTTGGCATTACCTACCAATTCACCTTACCTATAAATCAGACTTAAATCATCTTTATTTCATTTCATTACAGCCCTTCTTCCAGGACAGCGTTTGTGAGCAAAATGTATTTGGACAAGACTTTCTCCAGAGAGTCATATTATACCAAGGAAATGAATTCCCTCTCTCAGGCTCATAAAATGCAAAAATAAAATCAGCATTCAGGCTGCAGGCGGAGGAAACCAGGCGCGCATACTGAGCACCCGCCTTCTTCAGGCAGCACTCTGCGGAGCTGATTTGCATTTACCTTCACGCAGGCCTGGGCTGCGGAGGCGCCGGGCGTTCTGGCAGCCTGCCCGCCCACCGCGGTCTGCGGAGCCTCCCCAGCGGGGGATGCCAGTGTGTGCCGGGCTGCAGGGCTCTGCAGCTGCTCACTAAGCCCCCTGTCCCCTTTCATATGGAGCACAAACCATCTTTCCCCTGTCCTGCGCCCCAGCCCACTGAGCGCCTTCCCCAGCTGCTTGCAAAAGGAACTAATAACCAAGAGGCCGGGGATTCC